TGATTTTGGAGTGTTCAGCCAACTCAGTACTGTTTAACTTGTGTAAATCCCATTTGGTCATAATGTATTGTCCTTTCTATATATTGTTGATTGTTTGATAAAATTTTGTTTCAAATTTTGCATCAATTTTCATGAAGGATATTGGTCTATCGTTTTCTTACAGTGTCTTTGTTTAGTTTTGGTTTCAGGGTGATGCTGACCTTAATGAGAATGAGTGGGGGACTGTTTTCCTTTCCTCAATATTGTAGAAGAATTAATGTAGAATTGGCATTATTTCTATATTAAATGTTTAATAGAGTCCTATCTTGAGTGATCTTCTGTATATTCTGTGGGGTCTGAAGCTTGGGGCAATACACGTCTGCTGGGGCTTTGCCTGTCTTTCTCTTTGAAGGCAGAATGCTGTTTCCATCCTTCAGCCTTGGAAGGAAAAAGGAAATGTGGAGAAGGTGAAAGAAGAGGGACAGGAGTGGAGGCATGATATCTCAATGCATACTTTAAAAAAAAAGTGAAATTCATGTAGCATACAATTAACCATTTTAAAGCGTTTAATTCAGTGGCATTTATTACATTCACAATGTTATACAAGCATTACCACTATCTAGTTGTAAACATTTTCATTATCCCAGAAGAAAATCTCATACTCACTACGCAGTCATTCCCTATTCTCTCTTCCCCCTAGCTCCTGGCAACTCCTAATCTGCTTTCTGTCTCTATGGCTTTGGGAATCATACAATATGTGACCTTTTCTGTCTGGCTTTTTTCACTTAGCATAATATTTTAAAATTTCACATATAATGTAGCATGTATCAGTACTTCATTCTTTTCTATGGCTGAGTAATATTACATGGTACTTAGATACCATGTTTTGCTTATCCATTCATCACTTGATGAACATTTGCATTGTATCCACCTTTCGGCTATTAAGAAGGGTACTGCTATGAACACTCATGTCTAAGTATGTGTTTCAGCACCTGCTTGCAGCTCTTTGGGGTACATAACTAGCAGTGGAATTTCTGGATTGCATGGCAATTCTGTTTAACTTTTTGAGGAATCACCAAACTGTCTTCCACAGTGGATACACCATTTGATATTCCCATCAGTAATGTGTGAGGGTTCCAATTTCTCCATATTCTTGCCAAGACTTTTTTTTTAAATTAAAATTTTTTATTGTGACTATCCTAGTGGGTGTTAGGTGGTATCTCATTGTGGTTTTGAATTGCATTTCCCTACAGATTAATGATGTTGACCATCTTTTCATGTGCATGTTGCCCATTGGTATATCTTCTTGGAAGAAATGTCAATTTAAGTCATTTCCCCATTTTCAAAACTGGGTTTTAAAATATTTTTGTTGTTGAGTTTTATGCATTCTTTGTATATTCTAGATATTAAGCCCTTATCAGATATGTAATTTGCAAGTATTTTCTCCCATTCTATAGGTTGACTTTTCACTTTCATTTTTAACTTTCAGCATGCCTTAATTTTTTTAATCAACAGATTTTTAAAAAGTTATATATTTAGGGTGTACAACATATTTTTGACATATATACACATTGTGAAATGGTTAAATCCAGCTGTTTAACATATGCATTACCTTCCATACTTACCATTTTTTTGTGGAGAAAAAATTTAAAATGTACTCTTTCAGCAATTTTCAGATATATAATATATTGTTATTAATTGTAGTTAATAACAAATTAACTGTGGAACAAATCTCTTGAATTTATTCCTCCTGTTTAACTGAAATTTTCTTCTTTCACCAATATCTTTTCACTTCCTCAATAATGTTTTGTGATACATAAAAGTTTAAATTTTTTTTTTTTTTTTGGAGATGGATTCTCACGCTGTAGCCCAGGCTGGAGTGCAGTGGTGTGATCTCGGCTCACTAGAACCTCCGCCTCCTGGGTTCTGGTAATTCTCTCACTTCAGCCTCCTGAGTAGCTGGGATTACAGGCACGTGCCACCACACCCAGCCAGTTTTTGTATTTTTAGTAGAGACGGAGTTTCACCACGTTGGCTAGGCTGGTCTTGAACTCCTGGCTTCAAGTGATCCTCCTGCCTTGGCCTCCCAAAGTTCAATTTATCTGTGCTTTTTATTGTTGTTGCTCTTCCTTTGGATGGTGTATGTAAGAATCCATTGCCAAATCTAAGGTGATAAGATTTGCCCATGTTTTCTTATAAGAGCTTTATAGTTTGAGCTCTTACATTTAGTTTGTTAGTCCATTTGGAGTTAAGTTTTGTATATGGTGTGAGGTGGGGGTGTCCAATGTTATTCCTTTGCATGTGGATACCCAGTTGTCTCAGCACTTGATGCATATTTTTATATCATTCTGCTTTTTGTTTAAGCTATAGGAATATATTAACTATCAAAATTTAAAAGTATATTTTTTAATGGGAAAGAAATAATTCTTGTAAAAAGAGGAGCAAAATGATAGTGTGGCTAAGATAATGAATTGTAGAGCAGGACTGCCTGGATTGGAAGCCTGGCTTCTCCACATACAAGCTGATTGATCTTGGGTGTGTTATTTAATCTTTCTGTGCCTCAGTTTCCTCACATATGAAATTAAATAACAGTAGTACATGCTTCACAAAGTTGTTATGGGAATTAAGTGAATTAACACATTTAAAGTATATAGTTGTTAGTAAGCCCTATATAAGTATTTTTTAAATAATTGAATAAATAAATTTTGAAACTTCTAATGCTCCAACCATTGTGTCCATTGCTTAGGCACCAACTTTTCTGGAGAAGCAGGGCCTGAGTGTAAGGAACCAGAAAAAAAAAATACTAAAAGTTTTCAGCAGCATGCTGGGATGAAAGTCCCAGTCTTCTATCCCGATTCCCTAACACAGAGATGCCACTGGTCCTTGCAATAAGGGTTTCCACCCTGGGCCTGTGCTTTAGTGGGCCCCACGTAAACACAAACACACAACAAAACATATTTATAAAGAAACACATGGCTGCCTCTGTTACTGGTGCAGTATAACCCATAACCCTAACATCCACCCAACAACTCATGTAGGGAAGTGTGTCTTCACAACTCTTGCCCTGTGTTGTTGAAACAAAAGGACACCGTGTTCAGATGATGGGAAGGTATGTGGGTTGTGCTACTGCTGTCATTGAGTCTTATCTTATGATAGACTCACTGCTTTGATATGTGGAGAACATTTTTAATGACAGAAGTGCCCATATAAGAGAAAAGACACGTTGATTAACTTGTGAAATTCCTCCGTTTGAGCATTTTGTATAATGAAGTATCAATTTCCAGTAGTGCTAAGTATCCATTTTCTTTCTTCTTTTTGTGTGCCAATTCACGGTTTCAAAGATTCTCACAAATTAGTGCACTATTCAAAACAATTGCACAAGATGCCTGGGGAACATTTTGCAATATTAAACATTTCACATCACTATTAAATGTGTGTGTGTATATATGTCTACCTATAATACATGGAAGTTTGATAATGGTTCTTTACATTGTCAAGTAGATGGACATTGAACATTAAAATTGTGAATAGTTTTAATTATATAAAAATCTGATAATATTTAGTTAAAATTTAAAAATTAAAAGATTTTTCAGCTTTATTTAAATATTTTATTAAAACACTGATATTCATTCACTATCATTTAGATTGTATCTTTAAATTTAAATAACCAATTTGAATATTTTTTAAAAACTTATGGAAAAATATACAAAAATAATTTTAGTTTTTTATCTTTTATATTTACTGCAATTATATTTTTATTAAGTATACTCAATTTGGGATAATTTCAATGCAATTATATTTTAATTTTTAATCCTTTAGATCAGTGCAATTTAATACAGTTATATGTTGCTTTACAACAGATATGTCCTAAGAAATGCATTGTTAGGCAATTTCCTCACTGCACAAACATCATGGAGTGTACTTACGTAAACCTTGAGTGTAGCCTACTACACACCTGGGCAATATGGTATAGCGTATTGCTCCTAGGCTGCCAACCTGCACAGCATGTTACTGTACTGAACAATGTAGGCAATGTAACACAATGATATTTGTGTATCTAAACTTACCTAAATGCAGAAATGCTACAGTAAATATACAATATAAAAGATTTTTTTAAAGTACACCCGTATAAGGCATTTACCATGAATTGAGCTTGCAGGCTTGGAAATATCTCTGGGTGAGTCAGTGCGTGAGTGGTGAGTGAGTGTGAAGGTCTAGGATGTTACTGTATTCTACTTTACACTTTATAAATACTGTCCATTAGATGACACTAAATTTATTTTAAAATACTTTTATTTCTTCAGTAACAAATTAACCTTAACTTACTTTCTTTTACTTTATAAACTTTTAAATTTTTAAAAAACTTTTTGACTCTTTAGTAATGACACTTGGCTTAAAACATAAACATTGTATAGTGGTACAAAAATATTTTATTTCTTTATATACTATTTTATAAGCTTTTTCTATTTTTGAAATTTTAAATTTTTCTTCCTAGACTTTTTTGTTAAAAACGAAGACACAAATACACACATTAGCCTAAGCCTACACAGGGTCAGAATAATCAGTATCACTGTCTTCTGCCTTCCCTCCTGTCCCACCGGAAGGTTTTCAAAGGCAATAACAAGCATGGAACTGTCATCTCCTCTGACAACAATGCCTTCTTCTCGAATCCTTCCTGGAGGACCTGCCTGAGGATGTCTTCCAGATAACTTTTTTTTTCATAAGTAGAGAGAGTACACTAAAACAATAGTAAAAAGGAGAGTAGATACATAAACCAGTACCATAGTCATTTATTATCAAGTGTTATGTACTATACATAACTGGATGTGCTATACTTTTATTATACAACTGGCAGCGCAATTTGTTTACACCAGCATAACCACATACATGTAAGTCATGCATTGCACTATGATGTTACCATTGCTGCACTATCACTAGGTAATAGGAATTTTTCAGCTCCGTTAGAATCCGATGGGACCACCATTGTCTCTGTAGTCTGTCATTGACTGAAACATCATTATTTGGTGCATGACTGTAGAAATTTAAGCAATGATGAAAACGCTCTACATCTACACTGTCCAATACGGTAACCACTAGCCACTTGTGACTACTGAGTATCTGAAAGGTGACTGGTACAACTGGGGAACTAATTTTAAATTTTCTATAATTTAAATTAAAACAGCCACATTTATTTCATGGCTATTATATCATATCTTATATCATATCACATTTATATATCATATCATATATAGTATGATTATTTCATATTATATATGTATATCATATTGTAAATGCAGCTTGAGACCATTACCTTCCCTAGAACACAAATTCATGAAAATTACGAGTATCATAACGTAGTTACTGATTTTGCCAGAATAAAGGAAAAAATAAATTTTATAAAAAAGCATATAATTTATGAATTATTAATATCTTAATTGATTATTCATCCAAACACCACAGGTCCATCAACGGAACTCCCAGCACATGGGATAATAATTATGTTCAGTCATCTTTGATGTTTTGCCAGCTTTCAGTCAATTAGAAACTTTGAACTTTATACGTATTTTTCTATCTAATCATTATGAAGATATATTTGTCAAGGAAAGAGGATAGAAAACATGCTGTTCAACTCTTTGTGATTTAAAACTGTTAAATGTAGGCGTATGATACGCAGGTTCTGCTTGAATTCTTGCCCTGGCTCTTGGCGAAGGGTCGCCCTGCCTGGATCTGAGTCATCCACCTATAAGAGGGACACCACCACACATTGGTCACTGCTCTCAAGCCCCTGGAATACCACCCCGTTTGGCTTCTCCTGGTAACAGTGGCTCCTTTGCTTGCCCATCTCCAACTCGTCCCAAGAGCGCTGTTGACTGTGAGCTGTACCTTTGAATCTGCAGGGGCCCTTCCCATCTGCCTAAAATTTGCTATCAGTGAAACAGAAAAACCCTTGGGGCACTGTCAGGGAGCATTCTGGTCCGTAAAATGCCTACCAGCCACCACGCCGTTCTCATTCTTGCCATTAGCAACCTTCTCATTCTCTACATCATCAGAAAGTCCTATGTGCACTCATTCTAGAGGGCCGATAATTCTCATGGATCACCAGTGTGGACTCAAATTATTTGTATTATAATCTCACAGTACAAGTAAAAAAGTATATGCCTATGGTTTTTGTTCAGTTATAAAGTTCAAATAAACTTTCTAGATTAAATACAAACAAACTACAACACTGATCAAAATAAAAGCGGCAACATTAACTTAATGTGGCAATGTCTTGTGGAAAGCAAATTGCCAGTGTTGAAACAGTAGAAAGTTCTTAATGTTAGTTTTTTACTGATTGTATTTCCACATTTTAAATTCAGTAACACTTATACAGAGAATGCTGTATGTAAAATTATATATATATATATAAAATCATAGTCCACTGCAGCCTTGAACTCCTGAGCTCGAGTGATCCTCCTGCCTCAGCCTCCGGAGTAACTGGGACAACACGCACATACCACCATGCTCAGCTAATTTTTAAAACTTTTTTGTAGAGATGGGCTCTCACTATAACCCTGGTCTGGAACTCCTGGGCTCAAGCCATCCTCCCACTTTGGCCTCCCAAAATGCTGGGATTATAGGCGTGAACCACCACATCTAGCCTAAAATTATATTGTCAAAAGACTTTGTTTCTCAGTTTGGGATAACCAGAACTCATAGTTCTGATCTCAACTACCAGTTTTAATGAGGTGCTTCTTTCTAACTCCATCAGCTGTTTTGCTATCTGCAGGTAAGGACTCTTACAACATTATCTAAATTGGGCATCTAATTACCTAATTTATCTAAATTGTTTAAAATATCTAAAATGGGCACATAAAATGGGCATCTAATTCCATTAGATTTCTGTCTTAGAAGTGGAAAAGTTTTTAATTGAATATTTTCAAATATCCCTACTGCTAATAAGTTGGGAGCCATGAAATAAGCTCCTCTTCCATGAATGTGGTCTGGTTTGCCACAGCCCAGTTTCTTATCAGTTCAGTCTCTTTGTATTTCCATGCACTTTCCTATTTGCACCGCTTCCAAATGTGATGCCCACAGAGCCAGACACCATGTCATGTGGGCCTTTAGGCATGTGGCACTGTTCAAACTGGGAGGTGGCCTACATTGCGTTTGTACACATATATTTTAGTTTATTATAAAGATGATTACACAAAATTTATAAATTCTCAGGAAACCTCAAAGTGTCCTTACATAAATGATTATCAAAGTGTGGTCTGTGGATCCCTTGGGGTTCCTGAGTCCTGTTACTAGGGTCTACGTGGTTTGCAGTAAAACCAAGATGTTATTTGCCTTTTGCATTCTGTTGACATTTGCACTGAGGGTGCAAATGCAATACTGGGTGTTTTAGTTTGTTCAGGTTGCTATAGCAAAATACCGTAGATTGAGTATTTTATAAACAACAAAAATTTATGGCTCATAGATCTGCTTGCAGTTAATCTGAAGTACAAGATGAAGGCTCTGGCAGAGTTGATGTCTGCTGAGGGCGCATTCCCCAAGGACAGAAACTTTGACCTGTACCCTCCCATGGCCCCCATGGCAGAAGGAGCAAAGCAGCTCTCTTCAACCTTTTTTATAAGGGTGAGAATTCTATTCATGTAAGTGGGCAGTTCTTATGGCTTACTGATTTCCTGAAGTCCCCAACTCTTAATTCTATCACATGGGGTATTAGGTTTCAACATATGAATTTTTGGGGGACACCAATGTTCAGACCATAGCAATGGGTGAAACTGCTGGAATCTGAACAGACACCAAACTGTTACAGAAGGCATTATGTTCTTCATCATCAGCATTTTCTGCAAAGAAAAAAAAAAAGCCATCTCAGCACTTTGGGAGGCTGAGGCGGAAGGATCATGAGGTCAGGAGTTCAAGACCTTCAAGACCAGCCTGACCAACACGGTGAAACCCTGCCTCCATTAAAAATACAAAAATTAGCTGGGCGTAGTGGCACCCGCCTGTAATCCCAGCTACTAGGGAGGCTGAGGCAGGAGAATCGCTTGAACCTAGGAGGTGGAGGTTACAGTGAGCCGAGATCACCCCACTGCACTCCAGCCTGGGCGACAGGGCAAGACTCCGTCTCAAAAAAAAAAAAAAAAAAAAAAGGAAAACTGAAAAGCCAATTTCATTTAATGTCCATGATGAAGCAGTAAAAATATACAACTTTATAATATTCTGAGCGACAAAATGGGAATTACATGCACACCACTTCTGCTGCATACTAAAGTTCAGATACTGTCTTGAGGACAATCACTTGTGAAATTGAGTTATGGAGCTAAACCAGCCGCTTTTTTTCATTGAATACCATATTTACTCTTAAGAACGACTAGCACACACAATGGTTGCTCAGACTTAGGTGTTTGGCACACAGCTTTCCCAGAGATGCGTTAAGTGAGCCCAATAGTTTAGGGAAAACAACTCGCAATATTTTTAGCAAATGATAAAATGCAAGTTTTCAAGTAAAAAATAGAAAACTTATACCCATAAGTTTAATAGTTTCTAAATATTTAAAAACGTTTCTGATAAGATGGTAGGGATATTAATGAATTTATCTTTTCATACACTATAAGGAAATGTGTCACTAATTGGAAGATTTATGTCACTCAGTAAACCGATATTTTCCTATTGACCAATGCATATTGTTACAAAATCATGCATAGTCAAAGATCTATTCAAAGTGCAGGATAGACAAATGGATTTTAATGTAACAGAGTATGAAAAGTTTATTGGCATGGTTTCAGACTGTAATGTAATTAACTTTTAAGAAACTATCATTTGTCAAATTTTGAAGAAGTGTCAAGAAATATCCACAATTATCTGAAAAGGCTTTTAAAACACTCATATTTTTACCCTATTACATATCTATGTGAGGCCAGATATTCCTCGTATATTTCAACTAAACAACATATTTCACAGATTGAATGCAGAAGCAAATATGAGAATCCAGGTGTCTTTGATTCAAGCCACCCATGTAACTAAAGAGCTTCTGCACAGCAAAAGAAACTACCATCAGAGTGAACAGGCAACCTACAGAATGGGAGAAAATTTTTGCAATCTACTCATCTGACCAAGGGCTAATATCCAGAACCTACAAAGAACTCAAACAAATTTACAAGAAAAAAACAAACAACCCCATCAAAAAGTGGGCAAAGGATATAAACAGACATTTCTCAAAAGAAGACATTCATACAGCCAACAGACACATGAAAAAATGTTCATCATCACTGGCCATCAGAGAAATGCAAATCAAAACCACAATGAGATACCATCTCACACCAGTTAGAATGGCAATCATTAAAAAGTCAGGAAACAACAGGTGCTGGAGAGGATGTGGAGAAATAGGAACGCTTTTACACTGTTGGTGGGATTGTAAACTAGTTCAACCATTATGGAAAACAGTATGGCGATTCCTCAAGGATCTAGAACTAGATGTACCATATGACCCAGCCATCCCATTACTGGGTATATACCCAAAGGATTATAAATCATGCTGCTATAAAGACACACACACATGTATGTTTATTGCGGCACTATTCACAATAGCAAAGACTTGGAATCAACCCAAATGCCCATCAGTGACAGACTGGATTAAGAAAATGTGGCACATATACACCATGGAATACTATGCAGCCATAAAAAAGGATGAGTTTGTGTCCTTTGTAGGGACATGGATGCAGCTGGGAACCATCATTCTCAGCAAACTATCACAAGAACAGAAAACCGAACACTGCATGTTCTCACTCATAGGTGGGAACTGAACAATGAGATCACCTGGACTCGGGAAGGGGAACATCACACACCGGGACTTATCATGGGGAGGGGGGAGGGGGGAGGGATTGCATTGGGAGTTATACCTGATGTAAATGACGAGTTAATGGGTGCTGACGAGTTGATGGGTGCAGCACACCAACATGGCACAAGTATACATATGTAACAAACCTGCACGTTATGCACATGTACCCTAGAACTTAAAGTATAATAATAATAATTTAAAAAAAATACCCATCATGCTTCCAAAGTATTTTAGGAGAAAACTGGATATATATTCATTAAGTTAATTGCATTTCTAGAGGAATAATTTTTCTGTCTTAGTCCATATTAACATTTGTGAGGAAAAAGGATGAGAGTTTTTGAAATGAAATCTATCTTCTAACCAAATTAATTTTAGTTTTCTTATTTTAAATGCATCTAAGCAATAAAAATATGAAAGCAATTATTGAAACATAAAAAAAAAAAGAATATAAAACACTGTCGTTCTTACCAAGTTTTTGATTTAGTAAAAATGCAGGGGTTTTCTGGTAAAATATGTTATTTATTGTAACATATAATGGGCTTTTATTATTATTAAATTATTCATCCATTATTTGATAACCTCAGCAGATATCAAATATTATATATTTAATAAATCAAATAAATAAATTACTAAATATTAATTAATTTAATTAATAAATATTTTAATTTCCCTTAGCTTTAATTGCTAATATGGGAATATCAATAGATACAACTTAAGTGGAAGCTGAATTCCTAGACACACCAGGAGTCTACAGTCAATGTCATGGCCCTAATTGGCATAAACAAAGATTGTGCAAACTAGAGTGATATCTGGGAAGGCCTGGATGAGCCTATGTTTAGAAGATCCCCAACACAGCTGGAGTTACTTCAGATAACTCCTCGCCATAATATTATTATCATTTGATAGCTGCAGAAGATATCAGATTAATTTATTAAATACATGATATTATTATTTGATATCTGCTGAGGGTCCTTTCCTCAAGGACAATTATCATTTACTAAATGAATTAATAAATATTTTAATTTTTTCTAGATACCACCCACATAAACAAAAACTTTTTGGGAGTCCTCCAGAATTTTTAAGAGTTATCTAAACTATTGCCTTTACCAACTGGGAACTCCGATTTGAGAAGTGTTACCCTACGTTAAGCCAACAGCAGCCTGGCTCCTTCGTGCTGTGCAGTGTGGGACAGAGCTGGGTCCTTGTTGTCATCAGCCAGACAAGCACATATTAAAGCCCTCCTGAGCCATCGGCATTAGAGCTTTAAAATCAGCTCCATCCTACCATGCTGTCAGTCAATCAGGTGATCTTAATGACCAGATCTACATATCCTCCCTCCATGCCCCCACCCCCACCACCCGCCAACAAATCTGGTTGTCTATCTCTGTCAACAGTCCTGCAATGAATTCTGAATGTAGTTTTTCTCTTCCCTGGCCCGGCGTTTACATAGTACTCTGGATGAATCTACACTTACATCCAATGGAAATGAGAGGGATGGTGCGGAGTTATCTGAAGTAACTCCAGCTATGTTGTGGATCTTCTAATCATGGGCTCATCTAAGCCTTCCCAGGTATCACTCCAGTTTTTACAATCTTTGTTTATGACAATTAGGGCTATAACATTGGCTGTAGACATTTGTTGTGTCTAGGAACTCAGCTTCCACTTAAGTTCTGAAGTTAATCAGTTTGTGATCTTGTTCTACAACTCTCTGTAAGAAGAAAAATCACCGGGAAATAGTACATTCCGAAAGTTGTCAAAGTTTCCTTATCCAGCTGGAGCAGTGTAGTCTCAGACCAGAGTCAATTCCTTGCCCAACAGAAGTTACTTTGAGCCATGAGAAGCAGCCTACTTACCCTTACCTGGACACTTCTCCATAACCTGTGAAATGGCCTCTGTCACTGCCTCAAAGCCTCATTCTTGGTGGGCAACTCACCTGGATCCTGAGACCAAAATATGAGAGCTTAATGAACTGCTCCTCTGCGGTAAACCTACTATCCTTTCACAGTAAGATGTGGATATTCTCACCTTGCTCTACCCAGTGACATGTTAATCTAGTTCTTCCTTCCCCTGAGAGCCTCTTGCAACTTCACTGTTAATAGGAATCACTCTTTCATGCTTGCAAAGAACCCCTTTGGTGTAAGGAGTTTATACAAAGATTTACAGGATTGGTAGGGTAACAAGAAAAGCCATCTCCCTAGCTGCCTGCTTAATCTGGATCCAACTGCTGCTATGACAAAAAAGTACAACAAATTTAATAGGAAACCAGAACAAAACCCTAAGAACGAACGCTCAGGGTTGTTTAGGTTACAACCTTAGCTTGAGAGATCTGTCCCTGGCATTTATACTTCCTAAAATAGAGAATTTGACTGAGTCAAGTGGCCACCATCCAAATGAAGTGCTTCAACTGGGAAAAGATTCATGCCAACCTGCTAGGGCATGGTGTTTAGCCTTTCTTATATTTAGTCGATTCATGGGCTCATCATTTTGGGTGAGGTCATCAGGATGGTGCCACTCAGTTCACTTGGCAAGAGTCACAGCAGCTGATGTAGGAAGAAGCCTGTCGGAGTTTATTTTGCTAAAGGGCACCTGGGGGCCAAGGATGCATGGAGCCTTCATGAATTATTGAATGAACCCCCTCAACTGGCTCAGTACAATTATTCTCAGGGGACATCTTTATACACTCTTACAGTTAAAGTCTTGGTGGGGCTAGCTTTTCAAAATAATGACTCCAATTTTGAGGCAGTTCAGATAATTTAGTGAATTGATTTTTCAATATCTCTGTCTGTTACTGATTAATTTGTTGAGAGCGAATGTAGGCATCAGCTCTAATTTCCTTGAAGAGCTTTTACAAGTGACTTACACGTATAAAGGGCATCCTCCAAAACCATTTTAATTTTTAAAGATGCCAAACAATTTGCTAATTAAGTGTCTGTAAATGTGGACTAGTATTTCCCAAACTGTGCCCTCTAGGAAATGCTTCTAGGAGATGTTAATAGATACACAACAAAAATAAGTGAATGAAAGAAAAATTTCCAATCCATTGTCAGAAAACTTTGGGAAGAATTTGTTTACTAGAGGGCATTCTTCTTGGAGATTTACTCTTCAATCAGTATATTTAAAGACCTGATAAGTTCCATTGTAAAGAAATTTGCTTTTAATTAACCAAGCGTTTCCCAAATTTACCTTAACACAGACTTTTTTTTTATTTTTCCTTATGCTTCCCCAGATTCTAATTTTAGGACATATTGATCTATGTAAATTTTAAGTCAAATATATAATTTTGAAGCATGTGTGGAACTTAAATGGAATAGGTTAGGGAATAGGACTTACTTTAAATCAAGTCCTCAGGAAAAAAATTCGAGATAAAAAATTTGTGTGGGGAAGTTTACTGGGTGGTGTTCTCAGGTTCAATTCCTGCAAGGAAGTAAAGACACAGCACTGGGCTGAGGGAGAGTTTGAACTGTGTTCTAGCCACAACAAAGGTCTCATTCTGTCACAGGGGATCACTGAAGCTGGAATGGGCTTTTCGAGTTGTCCTGCCTTGAGGCAATGGGGCTGGGCATTCATAATCCTCCTTACCAAGTTGCTTCCAGGAAGAGGTCATGATCCTGGGCTGGATCAAGAACTGCTATCTTGGGTTGAGGGTAATTCTTGAAGGATTCAGCCAGAGTTCCCATTTCTTAGAGAGGCCATCAACAATTCGGATATTTAGTGCCTCATCCCTAAAGAAGGCCCTGGAGGAGCACCATGGCAGCTCTACTTGGTGCCACTTGGATCCATTTGCTTCGTAGATTAAGTTCTGAGAACATTTCCTCCAGAATCTCGGTTGGTCATTTCTCTTGGAGAAACTTACAAGAAAAAGGAAATGGAGGAACTACAGCCTCACCACTGCAGCTCATATAGAGATTGCAACTGACATTCATCAGCTCCTCCTCAAGTACCATTCCAGATCCCCTTGTCCGCGGGTGGTAACTTTGTTGGTCCAGGTGGCTGACCTGATGTGGTGACCAGACTTTGATCTCTGAGGGGCCTGAGCTTCATAGCCATGACTGCTGTACTTCCATTCATTACCAGAATTGCTCCCATTGGGTAACAGCAGCTCTATCTCCTCCTTATGCTTCCATTCATTACCAGTTTATACATTGTTCAACAACAAACTCTATCTCCTCCTCATGCTTCCCATTCCTTCACCAGTTGCTCCCATTGGGTAACAGCAGCTCTATCTCTCATATGCTTCCATTCATTACCAGAATTGCTCCCATTGGGTAACAGCAGCTCTATCTCCTCCTTATGCTTCCATTCATTACCGTTGCTCCATTAGGTAACAGCAGCTCTATCTCCTCCTTATGCTTCCATTCATTACCAGAATTGCTCCCATTGGGTAACAGCAGCTCTATCTCCTCCTTATACTTCATTCATTACCGTTGCTCATTGGGTAACAGCAGCTCTATCTCCTCCTTATGCTTCCATTCATTACAGAATTGCTCCCATTAGGTAACAGCAGCTCTATCTCCTCCCAGAATTGCTCCCATTGGGTAACAGCAGCTCTATCTCCTCCTTATGATAGAGCCAGGATGCTGGCTCCTCTCCTTGCTTACTGTTGGCACACGGAGTCAAACACGACCCACTGATAGCCATAGCTGACATTTAATGGGAGCCTTCCTGGGTCTCCTGGTGGAAGCATTTTTTTTTTTTATCTGAAAACCAGAACCTCTAAATCCATAAAGTTGAGAGTTATAGAAATAGGAAATACAAATTTCACAAGTGGGTCAGTGGTACTGATGGAAGCGGGGCAACTCCTAATCACCTCCCTTGGTTTCTGGATTTACCTATTGAGAACACAGAACCATGTAAAGGCAGTTGATTTAGAGCAGCAGCTTTCAAATTTTTGGTTTCAGGACCCCCTTACACTGCTAAAATTATTTTAAACAGAAGCCCAAAGCTCATTGTGGGTGATAACTACCAATACTTACTGAATTTGAAATTAAAACTGAGGAAACTTTAAAACACTTCAATTCATTTGAAGAGAGTGTGGAACACACTGCATGTTAACAGAAATAGCATCTTCATATAATTATTATGAAGTTAGTTTTGACCTCATGGAACCCTGGGATCTCTCCTAAAGTGTCAGATTGTCCCAAAAGATGAAGGAGCATAGTGAAGGACACTAGGCAGGTGAATTTTACTTGCCTTGGTTTGTAATACTTGATTCTTAAAGGAAGCTATGAAATGTATTGACATTTTAGTGAAGTCTGGTCTACTTTAGTGGAAGTGCTTCCTTGATTTACTCATTAATTTCTTTGCCAACAAAATGAAATGTTATTCCTCACTTTCTGTAAAACCTGCCTAATAGCAAAGCTTCTTTATGTTAGCTTTGTTACATCCTTGATTATTCAAGGAAAAAGTATCAAGTTATAAAAGAACTTACATATTCTTTACAATCATGTTACTTTCTACACTTAAAAAAATGCTATTTTGATTAAGTACATAACTAAATATCATTTTCAGGCACCCATAATCATATGTTAATCAAATGTCCAAATCTCTTCTGGTAACTTTTTGATTTTTACCTTCTCAAAACCAAATCCAAATATAGAAACACATAAGGTAAAAAAAGAATATTTCAGGATATCTTTTACATCAAAATCCATTTTGAGATTTCCCAGAGGGTCCCTGGAAAATTGCAAAGATTTGTTTTTTCACTTTATAAGAAGAGAGGTGCTAGAGATAATTAGCATTTTTGATATGTTACTATTATAAAGTTTCATGGAAAAAGTTGTCAAATCAGAAGAGACATTCAGTTAAATTTGGGTAGTTAAAATATTTTATTGACATAATGATTTCAGAAATTATATGGCTCTGGAAAGTCCCTGGAGATGTGTCAGTGCCCTTGCATTCTATGTTTTAACTTCAGAGGAAACGTTGACCTAAACTCTGGATTTTTTCCATATTCACCAGAATCTTTGTGTTACTTTGCCTGATGATACTAGAGAACAACTGTATGCTATTAGTCATAATTTCCATTAATATTTAAAATATGAACTTCATCACATACTTAATTCTTTAATTTGAATTTAACATATTCTATGCCACTGATTTTCTTTTTTACTTTTTTTTTTTTTTTGAGACGGAGTCTCGCTGTGTCGCCCAGACTGGAGTGCAGTGGGGTGATCTCGGCTCACTGCAAGCTCCGCCTCCCAGGTTCAAGCGATTCTCCTACCTCAGCCTCCCTAGTAGCTGGGATTACAGCCTGGTGCCACCACACTGGGCTAATTTTTGTATTTTTAATAGAGATGGGGTTTCACCATGTTGGCCAGGCTGGTCTCAAACTCCTGACCTCAAGTGATCAGCCTCCCAAAGTGCTAG